CGAGAGTCTTTGCTAGATTTTGGCATTTAGCAACTGGCATACGGTTTAATGTGAAGTCAACAACAACAACATACGTGACGCCCCGACCACCTTGTTGATTTTCTGCGACGAACGGCCGTCGATTTCCATCGCAATGGTTCAGGACTTCCTCCCTGCCATGCGCGTGTTAGTGCCACCGATCTCGCTTCCGAAAGTGCTCGAACCAACCGCTTCCGGCGGACGGTGTGTGTAGCCTTCACATGTTTATTTCGTGCTCTTTCATAGAAAAGTTTTTATAAATGGAAACTGCGAGATGTTTTCATCGCCGCGAAATCTTCAATAAACAACAGCCGTTTCCATGCATGCCGGGGTTTTTTGGCGTGAACCACGCGTTCGCCATGCTCCTGTGCCTTCTGTTGGTGATGGGTGTTTTGCTCTGCAGGTGCGATCGGCAAGCAGTCACAAACAGCGCGGCAGCATGCTGCGGTCGGAGTCGTTCGGGCTGGGGAGTGTCCACAAGAAGCAGCCACCATCGGTGGCCACGGAGAGCTTCATGATGACCACCAAGGACTTCCTCGCCATGGTATGCTTCTTGGTGCTGCTGTTGTTGGTTGTTGTTGCTGCTGCTGTCGCTGCTGGTATCAAGGTTTTGGCCTCCACTGAGCGGTGCAATCAACCAACGTTCTCTTTCAAGTCTTCTTTCACCGTAACCGCGACCCTCCAAACACCAAGGAACAGAAAGAAAATTAATCCGTCCCTCACTTCAGATGAAACGCCGCCCGTTGTATTCCCGCCAACGCCGACATAAATATCCCACAAGAAACATGATCAGAACCAACACGCCTTTTGTTTTTTCGCGCGATACACCGGTGCCTATTCTCATCACGGCCTTGCCCATGACCATGCGTACGTCCCACAGGGGTCCAGCCCGGTGACGTCGAACTGCGGCCTCAAGCTGTACAACGACCTCACGAGAGGCAGCAGCGACGCGTGCGAGACTTACGGCAACGAGAGGCTGGTAGACCCAACGACGGCCGACTTCGCGGTCACCTGCGTGGAAGTCTACGCGTTCGAGTGAAGTTTGTATCTTATTTATACTCTTGTGTAGTTGGGGCCTGCGACACCGCGCGGTGTTCGCGCCAGTTAGATCGGTACGGGTGTTGAAGCAGGAGACCGGAAGTTTTTTTTTTTTTATGTGCAGACAACAGCAGCAGACGATGTGGTGTCGCAAATGCTATGCTGCTTGTGCTTGTCTGTTTCTTGGGGGGTTTTGTGGTGCTCTTCGCGTGTCGGTGCCTTCACTTGATCCTACTTACGAGTGTGGTGATGATGCGATGCGAGCTCGTGGAGGTTGTTGGTGACATCTTCGTCGTTGAGCGTGAGGTTTGTTCGGCCGAGTCACGGCTGTGCCGGTAAGAAGGAAAAGCTCGGTGTTGATTAGATTGGTGATGATGTCGCGGCAGGGATGGGATGGGGAAAGAGACCCTCTTTCTTCTTGTCTTGGTCGGGTTGGGTTGTGTGTGGGTACCGCGAGAAGATTTGATTGGGAGGGGGTAGATCTCGGCCCAAGTGTTTTTTTTTTTTTTCGCACGAGTGTTTTGTTCAGTTCAGCGCGAGGTCGACCGTTCCTGTGCCGTTTCTTTTCGTGAGGGCCCAACCGACGACACGACTCGTAGCCACCGCCGCCACTGCCACCAAGCTGTTTAGGCACAGCTTCCTGCAGCCTCGAATCATCCTCTCGCAGCCCTTATTTCAGGCTACCCTTGGTTGAGTTGCGGTTCCGACTTTTGCTGCTCGAAAGGAAGGTAGGGTTGGGGGGGCGGAGGATGCGGCGGTCGTTGTGGTCCGCCGCTGCTGTGGTGTTTTGATCGTTCGTTCGGTGGGCCCATCGTCCGGTCGTCCGCGCCCGCCGGCCAGTCCCGTCGTCTGCGCGACTTTCTTGCGCTCCTCCTTGCTCTCCTGTCTGCCCTTTGTCGCTCTTTCTGTCCGGCACGGCAGGGCACGGCATATGCTGCTGCGGATCTCATCCCCCCCCCCCCCCCCCCCCCCCCCCCCCCCCCCCCCCCCCCCCCCCCCCCCCCCCCCCCCCCCCCCCCCCCCCCCCCCCCCCCCCCCCCC